ACTTCATCCACATTCACTTCATTTAATATAACAGCAACTTTCATTTACTAGTTCCCCTTCAGCAAAATTAGTTTAGGAAATCTGACTCTGCCACTCATCTAGAAACAGATTTTCCTCTTCAATTCCCAGGGAGGAACTGTATTTGCAAGCATCTTTATGTTAGAGTTAGCAAAACAAACAGGGCATTCATTTCAACACTGTCCATTAAAGTGGCATTTTGCTTTCTGGACTGGTTTTTTTTTCCAAAACCACTTTTCATATAGAAAACAGAAAAGTAGTTCATATCTCCACCTTCTTATCCATCAAAGTTGGTTCATGTTCTTAAAGGTACTGGCTTCCTAGTAAAACAGGCTCTGGACAAAGTGGACAAATGATGACATCATCACCTTTCCCTGTCTCCCAAAGGAAAGAAGGCACAAGAATGCCTATGAAAGTCCAAAACTAAAGATGAAATAAGACTTACTGTAGAACACTAAAAACTATCACTAATATACAATGAGTATCATTTACTGCATGAGGAATGCATATGGTCACAGTTTTAGTGGCACACGGTACAGGATAAGCTGAAGCAACCTTCCATGTGTTATCACTTTCTACTCTGCACAACATCTGGAAATGCAAATGTTGCAAACAGGATATTATAGAACATTAAAAAAAAAAAAAAGAGAGAGATAAAATATTCCATATTCAAGTTATTTTGTCTAACAAGGCTTTGACAAACTCCGAAGTGCAGTCTTTCATGCACAGCACCGTACAGGAAAACTTTTTGGAGGAGAAGCAGTCTCTGAAAATAGTTATTTACAGAGGTCAACACAAAAATATATAGACAACTTATAAGGGTTTTTTGTTTTAAGTTGAAGAGCATTTGCAAATGCAAGGTATCATGACAAACACATTAAAGTTCTGGAGAAGACCAGACTGGTTTTGATATTCCTGATGCTTCTTTGTATTACTTTTTAAGAATTCTACGTTCTGGAAAGAAAATTCACCAAAACCACAAAAACAAACCACTAACAGAAAAACCCCACAGATCACCTTCTCACCAATTAATGTATATACAAAACAAAACTCATTAGCAGGAAGTGAGTTGATAATTGTAATTTCCATATTCTAAAGTAAAGAACCCAATGAGATCTCTAGCAAGCAGAGAAAGTAATATCAACTGTATTTTAAATCCTTATGTTAAAGGATAAACTTAAAAGCTGTATCCAAGATCTTTTGGAGAGATTCCAATCATGTCAAGTACATCTGAGGAAAATCAGTGTTAGGCTTCCTTCACTGGGTAAGTAAACTAAATAATTTAGATACCCCTTCAAAATAAAGACTAGTCCTGCCAAAAATAGGTTCAAGTCCTCTTCTTGAAACTCCTTAAGACATTTCATAAAAATATAATAAACTCCACAAGACAGAAACCACCTAAACCATTCAGAAACTCCACTTCACACACAGGAACTCGAACAAACTGGGCAGCAAAATCTTTCAGAGAAGCTGTCTTGCTTAGTCATTAGATAAAACAGAGCAAGGTCTGTCATCTCATAAAATTACATTTCCTGACACAGGCTCTAGAATGAATAATCATAAATGAGGCTACTGAGTGTTGATTATAAGGTATGACAGAGTTTACAGGTTGCATAGCTCTTAGGAAGGAACTAGAGTATATAAAGAAGGCAATGTCTTCCTATCATGGTACATACAACTTACAAATCCCCTAAAAAAATAGTTGAGGAAAAACTAATAAAGAAATTATGAGGACTAAGAGTACAACTTAGCAGATTGCAGAAATTCAAAACTTTCTTTTTGAAGGAAAGAAAGTAAAAATTTAGATACTTAGAAGCCAGTGGCAAAACTTCTCTGCTCATGTTTAACATTTGTTATGTCTAACTTAAAGGAAATTCACTGGTTGTAAGAATCATTTCAGCAAGTGCACCAGCCGAAATGAAATCTCTAGTGTTGCAGTTGACAAACTAAAAACAATACCAACTGTCCTTCACAAGGTCTCTATCCTTAACAATAACTTAACTCAAGGTTTCCACATAAGTTACCTTGCTCTATTTGACTGTCTTTGAATTGGACAGTTAAGGATTTCTTCTTCTTGCCTCAAAAGCTGAGAGTTTCAGTTAGGAAGCATTACTAATATTTATGCAACATTAAACCAACATTGATAGGAACACCAACATGCTTTGCAAGATATCTATACATATTCTCAAAATCACATTGTTTTGCTGTATTAACTATCTGACTGCCCTTATCCCAAAGCAGAGGCCATCAACCATTCTGGAAAAGCCAGGAATGCAACAAAACACTGTCACCACGTGGTACTCACCCTCACAGGAGGGCTCCGTGCTTGCACCCTTTGCTGCTGTCCAGCCTGGGAGCTCTGCAGGTCCTTGGATGCGCAGTTGGCTCCAGCAGCAATGGGGACCCTCAGCGCGTTGGTGCCGGCAGTGCCACCGCCGGCGCTGGGTTTGCGAGGCCTCTGTTTGATGCCATCCAGGAGCCTAACCAGCAAAATATTACTGGGGAGCTCGTCAACACCGCAGTCCACTAAAGTCCGGCACTCGGGACAGCGCAGCTCGCTGCGGGAGCTCACGATGCCCAGCAGGCAGCGCTTACAAAACGTGTGTTGGCAAGGCAAGACTTTTGCAGAAGCATCAAGGCGCTCTAAGCAAACAGGACACTCCAACAGATCCAGCAAAGCTGATTCATCCATTTTCCTTGGATTATTTAACCAAAAAACAAATCTTTGCAGAATTTGTGTGTTTTGAGCACTGCAAGGGTATCATGTTACATCCATTCCTCTTCTGACTGTGCTCTAAAATTTTTTGAGGGAAAACGGCATTAATAAGCTGGAAAAAGTCAGCAAAACCATTTTATATGATGATGTTCATACAAAGAGCAAAACAGGAGATCACTAGACTAATTAAATAAATGAAACACAAATACAGTAATAGCAATCGACATCAATGTATCTATTTATTTAAAATATTTTAACAAATGCTAACAGCTAAGGCTTTTAAATTCAAGTCCCCATAAATTTCAGTCAGAGTGGTTTTATTTACTCAAATTATTCTAGAACAAAGAGCTACCCCCAGTACAGCAGTATTAATAAAGCTTACTTTTCATAGTTCTTAATCCATCAGTCTCTGAACATCTGAGATTAGCTTTCTTTCACAACAAGATGACAGAGGTGACTACAACGGGGTCCAAAACCACACAGCCTACACCAATAGGGCAGAGCAAGGGGAATTACATTTATGCCAACACTAAACCAACAGTGAACTACGTTTCTACCCTTTCTATGAAAACTACTGCAGCACATTACACAGCTCAGCCTTAAAAACAGCCTCCAGCTCGCAGGGTTTTAAGCTCACCGCAAGCACTGACAAGAGGGTTCATTACAGTGCCGCCTTAAAGAAGCGCTTCAAAAACTATCGCGAAGTGATTTACAGCAGGAAGTGCTACTGCCATATCGTTAGGACAACACGAGCGCTGCGTATGCAGCCACAGAGGCAGGGGCGAGCCCCCGGCCAGCTCCAGCCTATGTAGCGACGGGGTGGCAAAGGGAGAGGGAAAAAAAAAAAACCCAAACACCACTAAAGAGCCCCCCTAAAAAAAAAAACAACATTCTGCGAGAAGTCACACCAGGATGCTTCGCGGGCAGAAAAAGGCTCGCTGACCTCG